TATATATATATATATATATATATATATATATGTAAGAAAGAAAATCATACTTGTTTGAAATGACATAAGGGTGAATAAGTAGTTTTGCCTAGGAGGAAAGCAAGATGCCAATACACCCATAAGATACCAATATACCTGTTATAAGTGTCAGATCCAGAGAGTGAGAGCCTGGGTTTTGCGCGCAAGGTTGAAGAGTTATTGCGAGTTGTGCTTGTGAGCGTTCTGTCAAGCCGTTCTACTCTAAATGGCAGTTTTAGTGTGGTCCACCAGGGTCAGACCCTAAGGCCTCTTGAAACAAATACCATGATTTCTCCTCTGCTCTCTCTCCCTCCCTCCTCACACCATCTCCTTTACTCACTCCTTCTCTTCCTGCGCCAGCTGCAGCTGCTCCCTTATAGAGCCAAGCCAGCTTTATCCCTCTTCTATACCTCCTTTCATCCTGTCGTCCGCACATGCTTTTTCCCTCCCAGCAAGTCACACAGACAGGCTCTGTGTCCCCTCAATAGTGCCATTATTTATTCAGGGACACAATTTGGCACATCACCACCACCACATTTGCGGTGTATCCGGAAAAAAAATCAAACACATTTAGTAGGTGAAACAGCTCAAGATCGAGATAACAGTAACGTTTCACTTCTCCTCAGCTTCGGGACATGATTGTTCCATCCATTTTGAGTGTAGTTACAAGGTTGTTGATGCTCTTGGGCCATACCAAGTGCTCCAATTGCAGTATATTACTGTCATTTTACTATATCACTGTAATTGTGCTCTTTCACTGCAATTTTTGTTTCCACTTCACCTATTGTATCTTGTTTCCATTGGTGCCTGAATTATTTTCCTGCCACTTCCTTTGCTTTTATGTGACCGTCTCTCATTTTTCTCTCACAGTTCCGAGCCAGCCACCCCAGAATATACGGGCCATCACGGTGACATCAGACGAGGCGGTGATCACGTGGTCCGAGCCCCCACGGATGACCCTTAACGGGGTTCTGAAGGGCTACCGTGTGGTGTTCTGGTCCCTCTACCCCGATGGAGGTGGGTGCTGTGGGGGCCAGACACTGGGGCTCAATCAGAGTAATTATAAACTATTACTGTTACTTCCTCACTAGCAGCAGTCCCTGTAGAGCGCCCCCTACTGCCCGCCCGTGTATCTGTATCCCGGCCAGTCCAAACCACAGACAGTGTACATTTGTGGGTGAACAAGTGTATGTGTGCGTGTTGCTGTCTTTTATATCTAAAAGGAGTAAAATGTGGATTAAGAAATCGGCGAAAGCGTCTTCGGTGTCACATGATCCTTCAGAAATCATTCCAGTCTGCTGATTTGGTGCTCAAGAAACATTTCTTATAATTATCGATGTTGAAAACAGTTATGTTGCTTAAAGGGATAGTTTAAAAAATGAAAATTATGTCACTATGTACTCACCCTTGTGTTGTTCCAAACCTGTATGAGTTCCTTTTTTTCTGTTGAACACAAAAGAAGATATTGGCTACCATTGGCTACTGCAACTGTTTGGTTACCAACATTCTTCAAAATATCTTCTTTTGTGTTCAACAGAAGAAAGAAATGTGTACAGGTTTGGAACAATGTTAGGGTGAGTAAATGATCAAATGTAATATTTTACCTTTCACCTTTGATCAATGTAATGTGTCCTTTCCGAATAAAAATTTACTGAAAAAAAATATTTAAAACTGCAAACTTTTGGTAGCGTACTTTAACCAACTTGTTCGAACAGTAAAAATGGTTCATAAATGGGCTGAATAATGGCAAGTAATGGCAAGGTAAGGGTATATAATTTATACCAAGCAGAAGTGAGGGAAAAAATCTATGAAAAAGTCTATGGGTCCTTTTGTGTTTATTAATCTGTCACTTACAAAAAAAGTACTCTGGCAGTACCCTGGTATAGTAAAGATATAAGATGCTACTTTAATATATACCTTGATTACAAAATCATATTCAGTAGGACTCAAGGTTCTTCAAAAAAAATAGCATGCCGTTACCATGGTGTATATCCAAAAATAAATGGTATTTTAACATCTCTAAAGAGCCATGGGAAAACTTTTTACTTTGTTTGTGTTGCATTGGGACGTAAATATCATTGTCTGCTAAATATAGCTATAGCAGTGACAAGCAACCCTTTGTCCAGCAAAATGGACTATTTTAGTCTCCCTCTGAATAATAGCATGGTATTTTTTTGTAAGCGGAATGTGTAAACATGTTTATCCTGTGTTCCCTTGTGAAGTGTTCAAATGATGTGCTGTTATAAGTGAGTAAATGAAAATGCAGAAAAAGGAGAGTCATTTAGTTTTTTTCACATCTCTCAGAATGGGGAGAGATGCAGAACATCACTACCACTCGTGAGCAGGTGGAGCTGAAGGGTTTGGAGAAGTTCACAAACTACAGCATTCAGGTCCTGGCCTACACACAGGCAGGAGATGGCGTCCGCAGCAACGTACTCTACATACAGACCCGAGAAGACCGTAAGTTTGCGCACCACACAAGTAAACATGACCACTGATCATACCGCAACATATCTGCAGAAACCTAATGTGCTGGCTTGTTGTCTATTCCATTAGACAGTTAAGGCATCATGGAACCTCATATGTGACTCCGCACATGAAACGCACAAGAAACCTGACTTGACATTAGCGTGTTGCTAAGCTAAAAGCTTAGCATAAAAATACACAGCATCCCAAAACATTGGGTAAAATAGTACATTTTTAATTCCACTAAATTATATTATTGCTCATTTCCAGTTTGATATATTGGTCCATTAACATTTAAAAGTTTGGTGTTGGTAAGATTTGTTAATGTTTTTGAAATAAGTCTGTTATGCTCAACAAGTCTGCATATATTTGATCAAAAATACAGTAAAACAGTAATGTTGGAGAATAGTATTACTTTTTAAAATAACTGCTTTTTATTTGAATGTATTTAAAAATATTATTTAGTCCTATGATGACAAAGCTAAACTTTCAGCAGTCTTCAGTGTCACATTATCAGTGTCACAATCATCGTATTAATTATTTATTCCTGAGCTTGCTGCAGTGCAATTCATTCTGGGACTGCCTTCTTTATGAATGCTTTTGTCTTAGAATGTGGCCCATTGAGGGATCTTCAAAGACAAATCAATGTTACTTATTACTATTGAGCATATTATGGTCCCTTAACATGCTCCCTAAATAGCCAGCTCACTAGGTTTTGGAACACAAAAATAAAAGAATAGTATATAGGCTTTTATCTGTAACCGATAATTGTGACCATCCATTGAGCTTTCAACCCAGCCAATGGAGAACCCGTATTCAAACACACAGCCACATTATGTGCAAGTCACTTCCCCTTTACCCCTGCTCTATTCAAGCTCAAAGGTGTGTATATGAGGTCTGGGTGGAGGGAGGCTGTCGGGTAGAAAATCTTGCCACAAAACCACATTAGCTGGAGGCAAGTGCTGCATGGTCCATGTCTAGATGATGCTGGATCGCTTGATTGCTGGATGCGGTCGCCGTGGCGACATTTAGGCTCTGATATAGCATTAGCACACTTAATGAGAATTAATAGATTTGGGGCCAATCCTTAAAAAAAAAAAAAACAGACACTTTAACATCAGACAGAAGATTTAAGGCCTGTTCACACCAATATGAATGATCGGTCCAAAAATGCGGCCCAGTTTTTGAAAGCGATTTGTCTGTCTGGAAAGAAATGGCATGGAATGAAAACACAAATTCACTCTCTCACAGTAGGTGGCGCTTATTTGTATTTGTTATGGTGTTTATCAAATAACACCAAATACAAGAGTACAGAGATAAGAGAACCAGTTCTGGCATTAGCACACTTAATGAGAATTAATAGATTTGGGGCCAATCCTTAAAAAAAAAAAAAACAGACACTTTAACATCAGACAGAAGATTTAAGGCCTGTTCACACCAATATGAATGATCGGTCCAAAAATGCGGCCCAGTTTTTGAAAGCGATTTGTCTGTTCAGACAAATGGAAAGAAATGGCATGGAATGAAAACACAAATTCACTCTCTCACAGTAGGTGGCGCTTACTTGTATTTGTTATGGTGTTTATCAAATAACACCAAATACAAGAGTACAGAGATAAGAGAACCAGTTCTGCATTCATCTTCTACTGTTCACTGTCGCTTAACAAAATTGTCTGTTCGTGAGTGTCACCAAGTCATAGTTTTCTGTAACAGCAGTGGCTCTGGGCATATGAACAAAAGCTCAAAACTTAGTGGTTGGCAAATTTTCTTTGCAGTGGAATGAAAAGAGAACACCACTTCATAAAAATGTGAATGCGAATGTTTGTGTCGGTCTGAACACCAATCATTTAAATAAAAATATTTACTGCATTTCATGCGCACTGTACGCAAACCTTTGCATATATGTAAAACCTGAAGTATACTTTGACAGCTGACTAAATAGACAAAAAGACAGCTTGACATATTTTGTCTTCTTTCTAAGTTCAGAAAAACTTTAAATCTGGAATATTTTACACATTTTACAAACAAACCTTTTGGTCACTGGGAGGTGGTATATCCCACAATGTCTCTGTCATATATTAATAGTGTTCTGTCTCTCTTTTTCTCTTTCAGACCCCGGCCCTCCAGCTGGCATCAAAGCAGTGCCATCCTCTGCCACCAGTGTGGTGGTATCCTGGCTTCCCCCCATCAAGCCCAATGGTATCATCCGAAAATACACAATTTACTGTTCCAGCCCTGGATCGGGCCAACCGGTGAGGCATTAAAGATGGAAACTTGTTTTTAACGTTGATTTTGGTGTTAGTGTGGCTTGCGTTAGTGTTTTTGTTCAAAAACGAAATTAAGGCACACTTGTGTTTGTTGAAACAGACAAGAGTGAATATTTGTGTTTTTTTTTTTTTATATAATTTTTTTTTTTTTTGCACTTATGTGATTTATTTCAAATGAGTGTGGGAACAGTATGTGTGGATTTTAGATTCTATCAGTTTTCTTTTGATTCTAAGTATAAATCAGTGTTTATTTCACTATATTGTCTATTTG